TTTCCCTTTGTCTCCCTCTCCTTCCTCCCCCTGTACTTTTTATTATTCCAAATCTTAAGGTATGTGAAAGCACTAAAGCTTAAAGCCTAAATGCTTTATAAAAGGAACAGTTTCCTGCAAACAGCAGTCTGCTGCACAGCTTCACACTAATGCGATTATGTAGCTAATTTCCTAAGTTAGTTTCCCCACCATTTCACCCATCACAGCTACATTACTACAAAGCCTCTGTCCTGAAAAAATATAAACTTAACACCAAAACACCAAAGGGAAGGTTTTTACACCAAATGAGGAGAGATAATGAAGCAAACCACTGCTCAGTAGCAAGCAGACATAGATGGAGAAAAACTCACAAAGCAGACACTATACACAACCGAATTCCACACTTTGGAGGCTTTAATGTCACCAAGCAGTAGTAAAACTCATTAAAGGATTCCTTCCCGTTTACTATATCTCCTACAACAGTAAGTACACATCTTGGACTTGATGACAACATCAAATTCCTCCTAAATTGTTAAGCAACTACAAGGTTCACAGTACCGAGGGCCCAAGATTTCACACTCAGTGAGCTGCAAAATAAGTGGACGCATGCACACTTCTCATTTGCTTCTAGTCAGGCCTAATGGGAAAAGATGCTTTCCCAGCAATATTAAAGCAACATTAAAGAAGATTTGACTTCATTGCTTCCCAAGAAGATTAAAGGCCCTCCAAGAAGAGCTGAGAAGTTCTTTGGGGCTCCTTCTGGGGGGGAACCAGTTTGGACAGGAACAATATGGGGAGGATTGCTTTACTAGAAAAGAAGAATCATGACATGTATCTCCCTGCCCCAGGATGGAAAACTATCACACTTCAGCAAGGCTTTCTTGCTGCTGATGTGCTTCCTTTACAATTCATGCTGCACCACCTCGTTTCACGGGTGTGAATGTGCAGGAACGATGCGAGGTGGCTGTAAGTGAACAGCCACGTGCGTGCAGGGACAGCCAGCCTTGCATGACCCCGGTCTGGGAATGGGGACAGGGAGCACCTGCTCTGCTTTTTGCCTGAATGAAGGGTCCAGCCACATGGATGGCACTTCAGTGCGACAGCCAAAGCTGTCAGCGCTGTTTCCCTTTGGTGCACAATAGCCTTGTCATTTCTCAAGTGAGTTCCTTCACCTTCAATGGGCTAGGAACCACCAGCCTTGTCCTGTTTTTAACATACCCGGCTACAGTAAACACTTAGGCTAAGCTCCATATTTTGCAAAAACACTCAACAACTTGGGTATTGTGCGAGAAGAAAGAAGATGCAGTGCTCTGCTCAGGGATGTCCATATGGGACACTGTGCTGCTGGAGCATGTCACGGGGCGTGCAAAAGCAGAGGCACAGAGCCGGGAGAGCAGCCATCCCCCTGGGACTGCCAGGGGCCACAGCCCGACCCCTGCTCCCTCAGCAGCCTGACCAGACTGTGGGACACAAACAGGGCTTAACGGCCAAACCAGCCTCGGAATGGCAGGTGTAACATCAGTCGCAATGTGTGGTTGTGTTATCCCTGCTGTTGAACACAGAGAACTCTCTGTGGGGTGAGTAGCATGGTGGAAAAGAGAAACATGGCCAACCTAACTGTGTACGTGTGTGTGGCAGACTGGTCTAACACAGCACTGCAAGCATCTTCATCTGACTCTAGAGACATACCCACACATTAGAGAAAACAGTGACTATGGATGTCCAACAGCCAAAGGCCAAGTTATCATTAGGTTTAACCCAAACCAACATCTTTGGCGCAGGGTATTCCATTACAGGTACATATCAGTGTTGGGCAGGGATCAGAAGGGCTCAAGTGAAATCAGAATTCTTATTCTCAGGAGAACAGAAAATAATTTCTCTTTGTATTTGTTTGTACACCCGTCTTTCAGGGTACGGCATATTTACTCTCCAGCGAAGGCATAGTGACAGCAGAGATGTGCTAAGTTGTGATGAGGAGACTCCAGCAGAATTCAGGAGCCTGTTTGGTTCCAGCTTAGTGCCTCAGTTCCCACCCACAGCCCAGGCCCAACAGTCCTTCCCAGACCCAGAGATACTCTAAGGGGATATTTCTAAGAGCCTCCCAAACCTTGCATCAAGGATGGCATGAACAAAAAGAAGGATCAAGATAAGGCTGAACGTTTGGTAGACATACAAGATAAATTTTTGATAAGAAAACATCTCCCTTTAAAGGAATTCTCCCTAGCAGAGAGCAGCCAGTAGATATATCACCACAACTAGACAATAAAGCAGAGTTCTGGACTGAAACAAGGAGGGCAACTCACCCAGGTAGTTGTCATCCTCTGGTTTCCCTGAGTAACTGTGCTGACGCACATCAATATTAGTTGCACCAGCTGGGATGCGGACCACAACATTATAGCCTAGAAAAGATTTAACAGAAAGTCAAGGCTATTACACAGACATTTCATTTGCTTTTTACGGGGGGAAAGGAAATGAGCAAAATTACCTCATGCTACACAAGCTAATACTTTTCATTTTGGGATAGCATAAATAATTATAAAATGGAATATGCTATAGCTGGAAGGATTTTGCATTTTACATCAGTGTTTTTGAAGATTAAGTGTGGTAATGGCTTTTACAGACCTGCATTTTTCACTATAAAGTTTTTAGTAACAGATTCTTACCATAATGCACCGTGTTAAATGTGCCTGCAACAGTTTTGCATGAAGAATTATCCCCACCACAAACTCCACATTTATCTCTTCTTGCTTTTGAATTCAGCACATGATCGCATCCAGCTTGCTTTAAGAGAAAAATTGAAAAAAAAACTAGACTGAGCAAATACAGACTAGAACAGCATTTACAAACCTCCCAATTAAGGCACACAAAAGCTTTGTATGCAAAAAGCTGTTGTGAGACAAATTGTTTTGCTTCTCCATATTTTTCCACTGATTTACAGTGTGGCCATCCCACACCATTTTCAAACAAAAGGATTTTTTTTACAAAGCGAGCATCAGAACTGCGATGCCCTCACTAGAGAAAACTTTTATCGATTGTTCCCATAAAGTGTGAAAAATAATTGTGAATGGAAATGTAAAGTGCTGTGGGGTCTGACTGGGAAGAACCGGGACAGAGCACAGAAGGATGCAGGACGCAGGCTCAGACCTCCACAGCCCTCAGTGACTTGGGGCAGACGTACAGACATCCTCCACTTGAGTGTGTCCAAAAAAGAGCAACGAAGCTGGGAAAGGGTCTGGAGCACAAGTCTTATGATGAGCAACTGAGGGACCCAGGGCTGTTTTGCCTGGGGAAAAGGAGGTTGAGGGCAGACCTTATCGCTCTCTACAACTGCCTGAGAGGAGGCTGTAGTGGGGGGTGGGTTGGACACATCTCCCAGGTAATAAGTGATAGGACAAGAGGAAACAACCTCAAGTTGTGCCAGAGGCGGTTTAGATTGGATATTAGGAAAAATTTCCTCACCACAAGAGTTGTCAAGCATTGGAATAGGCTGCCTAGGGAAGTGACTGAGTCACCATCCCTGGAGGTGTTTAAGACGTGGCGCCAAGGTACAAGGTTCAATGGTGGACTTGGCAGTGGTAGGTTTACAGTTGGACTCAAACACCTTAAAGGTCTAAACTGAAATGATTCTACAATTCTATGATTCCACGTGTGGATCTGCCGTAAATCTGGAGGTTGGCACAAAGTTCAGACCAGCCGAGGCTCACGGAGCCCGCAGATGCTGCTGGCAGCCCCCGAGTGAAGAGGGCACCCAACAACTGGGTGGAGCAAGGTGCAAGAGCATCAGCCTGCCATGCAAAACTGCAACCACCCTCGCTGAAGAGAAGGGACAATAGTTACCCGGCAAAGGCCCTGCACGCAGATGTCATTTGTGTCGGGGCCACAGGGCGTCCCGTCGATGACACGATCCCGCAGCTGGTAATACGCTGTATTTCCCGCCACGCGGCAGAACAACTTGCACCGATCCTTCATCAGGACTAGGGATGGGAGGGAGGAAAACCAGAAGCACGTTATCCAAACGTCATCACCCCATGTAGCGATGCAGGAGGCAGGATCTGCATCCCCCCCTCCACTTACTGCCACTGTATTTGGGAACCCAGCGCACGTTCGTGGGCAGCCCGTTGATATTAAAGTGCTTCCCGTCAAAGTCAGCGCATTGCTCATCCCGGAAATCCTTCTTCAGCTTCGAGCACGGTTCAGTGTTGCAGGATTTAAACTTCATGCGACGACCCACGCAGTATTTCCCACCGTTTTTAGGCCTGCAGAAACAAGAGTGAGTAGCCATCTCAGATCAGGCTGGAAAGGAGACACAATTGCAGTTCTGCAGCCTGTTCAGAACCACTGGGTCCCGCAATACCCTTCTGCCAGCTCTTTCTGCACGTCTTTAACTAACATCCCAGGCTGACAGCAGGAAAGGTTATGGAGGTGTCTAATAAAAAAGACTATATAAGTGATGCTAAAAAGGGACTGAAAGAGGGAATATTTGCTCTCTGATGAATGCAGCAGTACTGAGAGAAGCCAGAGAGGAAGAGCTACACCTTCCTCCACACATGAGGATTTAGTTTCACACCAAGGGATCCCAGACGGAGGGACCATCCCTCCACAACCCCATCCATCCTACGGTTTCAGTTGCTGAGTTTGCATCTGAGCTAGCGGGTTGCAAATAACCAAACATCACAGCAGAAAGGAGAAAGGGCTTCCCTGCAGAGGCTGAAAGGTCGGGCAGCACTTAGTCCTCTGGGATTTAGAGCTCCGAATAGTAGAAATGGTAATGCTAGGCACTTTTAAACAACTTTATCTCCACATATTCCATAAAGCACAAAAGATGGCCAATAAATACTTTACCCCTATTTTACAGTAGGATGACTCTAGGATAAACTGGGGAGAGTGATATCAACCAAGCCACATAAAAGCCAGCAGATAAGCCTAAGAGAAATTGTCATTTTGAATTCCCTGACTCGCAGATTCAGGGCTGCAGTCATAAAACTATTTTTGTCCTCACATGTAGACAGAGCCTTTGCCAAACAACATTCACTTTGGGGACCGAAAAAGCCTCTCCCACTCCAGCCGCTGTCAGCAGCGATGTGGGAGCGAGCTGCATGCAGATGGCATCAGAGGAGCCCAGCAAAAGGTACTTTTTGGTGAGGACTCATTTTCAGCTATGGTAATGCTGTGAGAAAAGTACCTTTGGGATACAAGCTATCCTATTTACTCTCTGTTCTAAAGACATCTTTTCTAGGAACTCAGGTAAGATTTCGTATGCCCATCTATGTGCAGCCTTCTACTTATATAATAAATTGTAATAATGAAATAAAAAAGGATGTACCATGTTTTAAGCATTCCAAAAAAACCCCACTGTCTCTGCTGCTCTCTCCTGAAACTTTAAATTAAATTGGGAGGGCATGGTGGGGGCTTCTACAAGCTACCACCATTAATATGCATAATAAAAACTGCAGTACCACCCAAGCAGCTTTGCTTTTCCCTGGTGTCACAGAAAGAAAGATAATGCAATCTGGACGAAATGTTGCCAGGGTCAACTTGGGCAAAGCTTTAATTAAAGCTTCAATTAAAGTTTTAATTATCCAAAAAGGAAAAATCGTACCACCTAAGACCTGCGCTGAGGGTAGATGAAGTTAACACGCATCTCAGCCATCAGCATGGGAAAGCCTCCACCACCTGAGGTTAGCCCCAGCTCCTCAGTGTAACAGACCATGTCAGAGGAGTCAGTGGAGGGCAAGGGCATCCTGAGCTGCTGTGTCCTGACCGTGTTGCACCAGAGCATGTGTACAGAGGCAGAGAGTGGCCATCGAAGCTCAGGACAATATCTGTGCCCAGCTGCAGCTTCTGCCGTAAAATAACCACTAAACCTACATCTGCTACCCAACCCTCTGAACAAAACAAGTGCCTGCGCAAGTGTGGATCAGAAACGTGACTCACCAGGCACTGAAGTCATGGCACCCACAACTCCTGCCCTTCAGGGCTTTTCATCAGGATCGGCTCTGCCTCACTCTGGGACCAGATGCCCATCCCAGGGATCAGAGCACATCTTCCTGTTGAGCCTCCTTGGGAAGGGAGTCAGTTTGCACACTGAGACCCTCCGAAACATGAATCAATGAGCGATAAACAGGAACATCCAGAAGATACAGTCCTGCCCTTAGCCTACCATAAGCTCTCCACATCGCATGCAGCCAGCATCTCCTAACAGAACAGAGACAGAACCCCCCTGCACATGTACAAGGGTCTTTACACACAGCGACTCAACGGGCTCCTGTAGCTGAACACAATTTTTAGCATCTCTTGAGGTACAGGCACATCGACCACCTATGAAGCCCATCAGTGCTTGTTCTCCCACAGATAACAATGCTTGACTCTTACATTTGAAAACTCAGAGTTTCCTCCACCAGCAGCCGCAGGCGAGATGCAGAGCACCACCAGCTACACACACAAGATCCCTCCTGTCAGCATCCTCCACTCACTGCATTACTCACTGCCACGGTGCAGACCCCTCCAGTCCCATCCTAAATGCTGAGGGGTGTGATTTGTCTTTAGGCACAGCCTGGAGCCACAGCTGGTAACATCAGCTCTAGCTGCTCTGAGGGTGACTCTCACATGCCATCTGCAAACCAAATGTGCATCACTTGCAAAGGTTTCTGGTGCTTGCAAGTAAGCAAGTAACAGCCCAACCAACTGCACAGTGCCCAATACAGATTCCTGTTTACAGACTGATCTCACACCAGTTCCTAGTGGAGCAAGTCTAAGCCTGGTTTCTACCGATTTAGTCTATTCTCCACCTTGGTATGACAAACACCTTGGATTAACTTAACGAAGCATGCTTGGGACTGCTCCAGAGCTAAGACAGCACCGCAGCCCCTGTGGATGCATCCTGGACTCTCCCTCCTTTGCAGGCTCAATGGGGATTTCTGGGGGTTTCCCACTGCCAGAGCCCATCCCGTGTTCTATTCCCACACAGGCACACTATCTGCCTCCAGCTACAAAGGGACGTCTCGACCACCTTGCTACACAGCACATGGGGAAACTGCTCAGCTGTGGCAGCAGCACACTCCAGACCCTGATGAGCCCGAATCACTCACAGGGCAGTTAACAGGATTCACCATTGTCACTTCGAAAGCATTTATACCGCAGCAGGACTGTTGCAGTTTGACAAAGGCTCTAAATTATGCAAACCTCTAGTAGGGCATTTCTTTAAAAAAAAATTGCAATGACAACATTTTAATGGTAACTACATTGCTTCCAATATAAATCAATTTAATTAAAACGAGACTTTTAAATATTAAGTTAGCTAAGAAGACTATGCAGGAGCTTTTTTTTTTTTTTAAGGGTATGTCTAGCAAAATCCAAAGATCCCCAGCTACTATATAGTTTCCTTTTCTCTAGACATGACCCATGAGACTGAGATAACACTGAACACATGGACGCACTGCAAACTGAAGAATGCTAAAACTTGCCATTGTGCTGCCAACTGTCAGCTTTGTAACCGTAGCAGTAAATCTCCCTGCAGCCAGCGTTTGGGGCTGAAGCACACTCACACTTGGGACATTTCAAAACAGCCCCAAACCACTCTGACAGTTTTAGGGTGTTTCTAAATGAGCATTGCTTTTCACACTCTGACTGAACAGAAGAACTGACCCTGAGAAACAAGTCAGCCTCATATAACATCAATTTTCAGGGTCACAAAGAAATACGGGATACTTGACACTACATAGTATTTTTATGGATAATAATCAACAATGTACCACAGAGATGGAAGGAAAACCTGCACAGAAACCTCCTTGTTCTCTCTTGATTTCCCTTCTCTCCCAATCATCTCTTCAATCAACCCACGGCTGGTGCGGACCCAGCTTTCAATCTGGCAGCGTTCCCCTTACAAGCTCCCGCGCACAGCCTGGCTTCACTGCGCTCCTCCCAGCGCCTCTTCAATACACAATGCTCAATGCATCACCTGCAATTACTAACCTGGACTATTTTCACATGCAGACCTCGAGGCAGCACCCAACTCTGGGTGCCCCAGGAGGGCCAGGTACATGCACCCCGCTGAGAAGTGTTGTTTTGGGGGTGCTTGGCACGTGCTCAGCCCCTCAGGCAGCAGCTCTGCCCAGGAGCACTCCAGCTGCCACAGCAAAAGGACCCTGGAGATGAACTATGGGGCACCTGTGTTCATCTGCACGTCTGCCTATGTGCCTGTGCTCAAGCACAGTGACTGCAGAAAAATCTGTGAAGCCCCAGCGCACATGGATCAGTTTGAGATCTCCTTTGCAGCATCCTGGGAAGCCATGGGACCAGGAATTGGTCTGTGTGCTGCCAGCGGCCAGCACAGTTATCTATAGATGTATTTACCTGTCAAGCTCAGACAGCTTTTGGTACAGGTGGATACTTTTGTGATGGACTAAAATGCAGACGTGATCCGACTCACATCCAGAGATAACACTCCCCCATCCAGAAAGCCATTCCTGAAAACAAGGATCCTGGTATCGACATCTTATGAAAGATGCCTTTTCCCCATAATTCTGCAGCTACGCCTTGCTTTGAAAGCCAGGGCTTGCACCACAGATCCTCTACATGACACGCTGCAGCCCTGGGCTGTGTCTGTACCAGCCAGCCTCGAATTCCCAGGGGGTCACTCCTGGTGGGAAGGGTCTGGTCTGCTAATACATTCCTTCAGTGTATGTCAAAACACAGGCTGCTGCCATTTCAGAGGCTTACAGCTTCCTGCAGCCCTGCAAGATACTCGTCCACGTAGGTGCCAGAGCACATTGCAAACAGAGGCAGGAGCTGCAGCCTTATTTTCTGTGCAATTTTCAATGTCAGATTTAACACTATTTTATTAGCATGCAGAAAAAGCTTTAAAAAGCTAAACCATTTTTGAATACAAAAGACTTACTGAAAACTATTTCAGACCCTACTCAGGGTACCTGGGCTGGTTCTGCTGCCTCCTACAATGGAGGAGAAACAGAGCCTAGAGCTTTTCTGTGTATTTTCGAAGTACTTTGAGAAGAGTACCCAGCAGTGTCTCATCCACTCACATCATCTCAGCAGCCCCACAACAACAAGGACACAGATGGTGGGAGCCCACGCTACGATGTCAAATTATGGGGACAAAACAACAGAGTCGGTGTAAAGCTCTGTGGATGGTTCTGGGACAGACAACACCTCGCAGAGGCTTCACAAGGGGTTGGAAAAGAGGCCAGTGCCAGCTACACGGCTCTTGAAAGGGGACCTGGAAAATAACCACTGTTAATGATAAGCGCAGATTTCACAGGCAGCTTGGTGCCGACTGTATTTAGGTGCTTTTGCAAATCCCAGCCAAAGCAATACGCCTCACAAAACATCAAAATACAAACAACAAGCTGTAAGAGAAGGAATTTAAAATGCCTTGGCTAGCCTTCAGGATAAACGAGATTTTCTATCACAAAAAGCTCTCAGTCCAAACAGATGCCTCTCCAAAAGATGGGAATACATCTCCCTGACAGCATCCAAAGGTTTGGCAGCAGAGCTATTTTTGTGTGAAGAAAGGTATTTTATTTTTGCATCGCCATGGCTACTGGAAGACCATATGGCGTGTGCTGACTCAGCACAGCAAGACAAGAACTCCTTTGCACTTCTGTGTTTCTCAGCATCATTTTAATTAACGCGCTGGTGTCTAACTCCCTTAGCCTCAACCCTTCTCTTCTCTTTCGACACCTGCCCAGCCGCGCTGAGCCAGCCTCTCCTGTCACTTCACCACCAGTGCCGCAGGTACAAGCTCCCTTCTCCCATTAGCAGTGATGAAGCTGTCACTGGTGCACCATTAATGGCAATTTCCTTGGCAATAAGCTGTCCAACACCAATGATGAGAAAGTGGAACAGAGCTTGCTCAATCTTTTTAAGACTCCTTGGTCCAATGAGCTCTGTAGACCCATCTCCTCTCTGTGTCCCAGTCCCAAATGAGAGCCTGGAAAGCATCCTGCCCACCCCTTCTTGTTCTTGTGGGCTGAAAAGAGGCAGTTCAACAGAAATCAGCACAGTTCACAATTTACGTAAACAGGCTGTTCTCATACCAGTTGCTCAACCTATTAGGAATATTTCACCAGCCACACATTCGTCTCCTTGAAGCCCACAGCAAAATTCCCTTCCATTTCAAAGGGTTCAGGATTTTGCATTCCAGGCTGACAGCAAACATTTTTGAGTGCCACGTTTTAATGGGGTGCAGACTTCTGCTGAGGTTTGGCTAGTCCGTGCCAGCTGACATGTAACTGTATAAAGGATGAGCTGCAAAAGCAGCCAGAAGCTGCAAAACCAGACAAAGCAGGACTAAAATGTTAGAAAACTGTTTAAGGGATCTGGCCTGGAGGAACAGCTGCAAAAGCAGCCAAAGCAGGAGTAAAATGGTGAAAAAATGGATAAAAACATGGCTCCTTCCCTTCTCCCTCCTTTCTGATCCACAGCTTTGGAGGAAGAAAAACACCTTTGGAAGTGGGACCCCAGCTGTGCCTCTCCAGGAAAACAGAAGGCAATAAACCCACGCAGATATTGGCTTTCTCCTTCTCCCTCTACTGAATGGATCCCTTTATAGTGCAATTTACCCACAAACCAAATCTGCTACCAGCTCCTCCTGGGCTCCCGGGCTGCCTCATCCATACCAGGCAAAGCCACCGGCCCCTGGGGCGTGCTGGGGATGGCCAAAGGGGCTTTCAGCAGCAGCAATGCAGCTGCTTCTCCCCATTTCACCCACTGGCGCTTCCCCTCCGTGCACTTACTCGGGCCGATTGCACTCCCGTATTGCCGTCTTTATGCCACCGCCACAGGTTCTCGAGCAGGTCCCGAAAGGGCTCCATGTCCCCCACGCTCCATCTGTCACCGGCGCCTCTCGCTCCTTGGGCACGCACATCCCAAACCGGCAGTGCTGCATGAGAAGGACAGAGACAGCAAAGGTGGGTTTGCGTTGCTTTTGCATTACTTTTTGCATTGCTTTTTGCATTGCTTTTGCATTATGAGCTGACCAACAGCAACCAGCCCAGACGACAAGACTCAGGCTTACTTATTTCTCAGCCACATGCAAAATGCAGCAAAATTTTTTGCAATCAAATAAAATTGGACTCCTTTATTTTTTGTCACCCCCATAATTTTTTTTTTCTCTGCACCCTTAAAATGGAAAAGCGAAGGCAAGCTGCAGAGTCCATGGGAGTGATTTATGGCAAGAAGACCAAGGATAACAGCAACCACTGAATATTCCCTGTTCACTGGTGCTGAACAGCACGGCAACGCTCGCGGCACTGGCTTTTCAAAAAGCTGCTTATCTGATTTCCTGGAGAGCAGCAGGAACCACATCGTGTCAGGGGAGGAAGCAGACAGTAGGGAAAAAACAGGGAAAACTCAAACCTCCCCACAGCTGTACAAAGTGCCCAGAACAGAAGAGGGAAAGGAGCTGCCAAATCCAAAGGGCAAATAAAATAGAAAAATGAATTCCTCAATCCAAATTTTTTTTTTTTTTCCACTCAGCCACAACATGGGGCTTGCCAAGGCCTGGCCTACGCTTTTGTTTTCCACCTATAACTCTTGTTTTCTTTTGTTTGGAAAACTGGTTTAAATTATCTTGGCAAGCCCACATCCTCCATTTTTATGGTGTAAGTTGTGTCCCTTTGGGGGGTGTGTGCTAGTTCGACAACATAGACTTCTGGAGAGGTGAGATTCAGGGGACAGTCACCTTCTGGCCCCCCAGAGCAGATGGAAAAGCATCCCCAAGACCCGTGAGAGCAGAGCATCCCTCTCACTGAACAGTGCTTGCTAAAGCAGATTTAAACCCAGAGACGCGCTCACCTGCTGGCGGATGTCTAAATCTTTGCAATTATAGGAAGCCCAAACATTGCTGATTGCTCACAAATTAGAAGAGGTTACAGACTTAAAGAAGAAAACATGTAGTGCATCATTAAAAGATTCTTTTGCAATAGTTCTCTGCACCAGATGCTGTTCAGGCAGGGAAACACCTGACGATCTTTATGGCAACAGGGTTCAGTTTACTGATGTGCCGTGTATCCTTTCACTAATAGTGGAACGAGGTTGTATCCAGACACACCATGAGCTCATCCCCCTTCTTAGACATCCTTACAAAGCACCTTAGAGAAAGTTATCCAGGAAAACAGCAAAATCCAGCCATCGTGGGGGTTGTGCATCCAGCTCATAGGACACTGGCTCCGCAGGACATTTAACACCTTTTGCCCATGATGGCCAGCTTGTCACATTGGTTTGCTGACGGAGAAATCTGATCTCAGGTGCATTTGCTTGTGGGCACGGTTTTCAGGACAGCTGAACAACTCATCACTTGGGCCCTAAATGTGCTATTTGCTCAGAGATGAGCCTGGTCTCCAGGCTGCAATGTGCCCTGGATTTGCTTTCATATAAAGATTTGATTCCCTAGCTAGAAACTGGCTGAAAAATATCGCCTACAGTAAAGGACAGGAATAAAATAAGCTGAAACGCTTGTTTCTTTGCTGCAGGACAAACCCTTAAGATGCACAACTCCTCCAGGCATTTAGAGGGTTGAAAAATTGCAGGATGGGGATGCTGACACCAGTCCGGCACAGGGACAAAGAGGTCCGACAGCTATCATCAGCGCACAAAAATACACGACACCAATCCAACAGTGCTGTCCCAGTGGAGAACTTCTTGCAGCAATGTTGATGCTCACAGCTAAATATATAACCACAGTCACGCTTGGCACCACTGACCCAGAGAAGACGACTGAATAGCTAACTAGTGAATGCACACAGCTAACAGACCGTGACATGACCTATATGTCTCCCATCCGATGGTTGAGAATTAACCAGGAAATCACCTACATCCCTTGATTTTATTAAAAATGGGGGTTTGGGGTTGATGGTAAATCAAAGGGCGAAACAAAAAGAGCAGCTGTTTTAAATAAGCAGGAAGATTATCTTATGGAAACGCAATGGTGTTTCTTGGAACCACACTGTGAATAGTCTGGCTGTGCAACCTTCATGCCTTTTGTGTTTTAAAAATAATTTCTATGTTGGGTTACAACAGAAAAACTAAAAAAACCTGCCAGGGTTCTCTTTCCTACGAGTTTACAGATCAGAGAATGAGGAGAATAAAAGAGTTTTTGTCTGGAGCAAATTCAAAATAACTTAGACACACAGTTGAGCAGGAGAGCAATGGCAGGGACGGTAGACACTACAACAGACTTTCCTTCCCTTTGTCTTGCCACTGGAGTCCCAGATAATTCACCAAATCCAGCTCCCATCCCAGGGCTGGCTGGCTGAATAGATTAGCAGGGGGCAGACAAGTGCTGTGAAGCCTCATGCATGCATAACATATACGCTACCTGCTGCCATACGGCAGGGGACAGAAATCATTACTATTCGGCTACTCTTCTTTTACCATTCTTTAAACAACCCTGAAAACCACAAGAGATAGAGGCCTGAGTTTACGACCCTCTTTATTTTCTTTCAGGGATTTATTTCCACCTGACAATGCACTGGTGCTGTGAAACACTGTAAACCATCACCTCTGGTGCTCACCCAGCTAAGGCCAAACTCTGGGCTGGGCTTATTACTTGATTTAGTGATATAAAATTCAGTGTCCTCACATGCAAAATATGCATAAGCTAATACTCCCGTGTTGTTTTAGTGGTCTTGATTTAAGAATAAATTTAGACCCCGGTTAAATCTACATCTCAGTAGTTTTAGCTAGATTTTTCCTAGCTATTTAGGTTCCCTCATACCCAAAGATATCTCCATAAAAAATGGCATGCTATTTTCTCCATCTGTCAACCCATATATCACGGCCTTTAAACATGCAGCCTTGAGGCAAGGCATTAGTCAGCAAGCACCAGTCTGATGGGGCTCCTAACCACGGCAAAATACCAAAATAGTGATTTTTTTTTTTTCCCCAATGAAAAGCACTCCAGACTCGCACCTCAGCACTTTACAAGCCCAAGTAAACACTGAGGAAGAGAGAGTTTATGTTGGTCCAAACCTTAAGCTTGAATTAGACCAACATACAGATACAAGAATTATCCTGTAAAGCCTTTTAGTGAGAATACATTCAAATGCCTGAACACAGTGGACTGCATTAGCTTTTCTTAAGAGCCCATCTGTTCTCAGCTGAGAGGTTCAGGACACACTTGTCTAATTTGTCTAAACTTGTCAAATTGTCTAAATTTGTGGACTGAAATGTTTTTGCTTACACGATCTTTATTAAGAGCCTTGTGGCTGGACACCGCCCCTCAGCTCACACAGGGTAACTCTAAAGAGGTGCTAATCTGCTCGATTGCAGTTGTTTACGCATCACTCTGGTCATACCCAAGGGTAACAGCAGGTTTTTTCAGAACAAAATTGCAGCCCAGATTTTTGGAATGTCAAGAAAATAGTTATTTCTGAGTTTCCAGTGGTGAGCAGACCCCAAGCTCACCAATGGAGAAGCTGAAGACACAAGGTCTCAAGTCACTCCAGATGCTTAAGCTTTTTCCTGAGTCTCAAAAAAGGAGGGATTTTACATAAGAACATTAAATATTGGTGCACCACTGGCTGGAAGAGTAGGATAGGAATGTGATTTGCAAACACATCTCTAATGCACATTCTAAGCAATAAAAACAAACGTGACAGCACTCTTCCATAAGAAAGGAAAGCAAATTGATACATTATGCTCATTGTCTTGAAGGAAATCAGTCAAGCATCTCTGAACAATTGACTTTTCAGACACATGCAACAGAAGATTAATTACCAAGGAGATATAGTCTGTATGGAAAATTATATCTAAAATAGCATACAGATATTTATATTAAAATGCATTTGAAAGACTATGAATCAAAAAGATGACTCTTTCTGAAGAAAACTTTAACTGTTGATCATTAATAGCCAGAAAAGTATTTTTTAAGCTACGTCTTGTAGAACAACATCACACTTTTTTACTAGACCCAGATGGAGAACATTTTTGTTCAGAGACAAATGCTGAAAACTACTTAGCATTTTTCTTCAAAAGCTTCAGTATCTCAATAAAAGAAAAAGAAAAATCCCCTCAACTATTTTTCTCCACATCTGTACAACTAAAAACTAAATACTTATTCTATAAACCACAATGCTAGCTGGAAACTAACATCGGACATGGAAATTGAAAGTTTCTGTGAATGACTGCCAAAAATATTCCATACAGAAAATGTCAACCAGTTCTATATTTTCCTCTGAAGTTGTCAAGAGGAGAAGCCAGTTGGCAAGTTTATGTTACACAAAATTACTAATTGCTCACACCGCATAGGAAATTTCTAATAAAAGCCTAGGGAAGCTTTGCAAAAGTTTTGCTCAAGAGTTCACCCCAGGGCATTAATTTAAAACGATAAGCACTCCAGAAAGAATACCTGCTTTAAACAACATGATGCCAAGCAATCAATTTTAACCACATTATCTGGGGTAGAGTTGACCCATGCACACCAGGCTTAAAACAGAGTTGCTTTAGGCTTCCACCCTTGCACTCACAAGCTGTGCCCAGTAAAACCAGCCATTGGGATAGGATGATTTTGAGCAATATGCTTAGCCTGAGCTGTAGGAAATATAGCTACGAAGCACAAACCACTGAGTATTACAGACCTTTCCTGGCTCACATTCTGTCCCATCAGCCCAAGGTGTGTGCTGGGTACGGCATCCCTTGTGCGCGCCATCAATGTTAATACACCAAAGTCGCCGACACTGCATCTGCTTAAGTTATTGAAAAGATCAAAATATTAAATAAGTATGTGCCACTTGGCTTACCAGATGGGTGATCCTTTATGAAATTATCCCCCTAGGTTTTATCATTAACTCACAAGCTTGACAATAATTTGATGGCTTGTGAGCCTCCCATTCATCCAACCCCAGGAGGCCTTATTTTGCCCTGGCAACACCAGGAAAACCAAGGTGTGGAATTTCACTTACCATATACGGGCACACTTGAGATCCAGGTCCAAAAATTAACTCACATTGTTTGTTGACATCATAAATCAGCCCCGGGAGCTGCTGAGGCAACGTGTAAGTTCTCGATGTAGGTTCATCAAGCAAACACTCCCCATAACCAGTGCTACGACACAAAGCAGAGAAATGGCGTTAAACAGGAGGTGATGTGACTGGAACCCATCGGTGTTTACCTGAGCCAGCCTTAGGGCAGACGTACGCCACATTTGCCATATTTAACAAGCACTGCAGCAGCTACTGCAGGCTCCAGCGCAGGAGGCTGTGCCACCCATTCTCTACCACCCTTGTGCTGTGCTAAGGACCGGCCACCACCGTGCAAGTCAGCTACCCTGGCAAAAGCATTTCTGAGTGTGCACAACCTGCACTTAGTTGCTGAGTAAGTGCTGGTATATATTTAGAAATAAAATTATTGATTAGCAGCAGAACCAGCAGATTGAGCTTCTGGATTTGCCAGGACACCATTGTGGCTCTCATTCTGCTCCCCACCACATGTAGGAAGGCATAATGGCAAAATGGGTGACTACTGGGCATCAAACTGACCCGCGGGCTTCTGGAGCAGCATTCCCACCATGGAGTAGTGCCAGGGCTTTATCTTGACCTGTGGAGCAGAAAGGCAGATCCAATCTGCCTCCTAAAACACAGCTCTGCATTGGGCCACAGGGCTTGGAAAACTCACTCTTCAGGTTTGAGGAGAACGTACATTCCTTAAAAGCAATATCCATGGGGGAAGACTTATTCTTCCCCATAGAGAGGCCGGTCCTTGCCAGCTTATCACGGGGCTGAACTGGCAGGG